ATAGATAGATAGATAGATAGATAGATAGATAGATAGATAGATAGATATGGTTTTCAAGACAGCATATGTAGACCAGCCTGTCCTCAAACTCAGAGCTCTGCCTGCCTCTGCCTCTCAAGTGCTGGGATTACACCCATGCTCCACAATGCCTGGCACAGTATTAAAAAAGAGTTAAAGAAAGCCAGTGACCTTCAGAGAGAAGGGTAATCTAGAAAGTACCAAAATATATATTAAGGACAACAAAAACAAAAACTCGGCTGGAGAGGTGGGTCAGTGGTGACGAGCACTGGCTCTTCTTCCAAAAGACCTGGGTTCAAATCCCAGCACCCACATGGCAGTTCACAACCGTCTGTAACTCCAATTCCAGGAGATCTGACACCCTCATACATACACACATGAAGGCAAAACACAAACATAAATAATTTTTAAAAGCCCCAACATTTAAAATACAAGAAGCAAGCAGTGATGACACATGCCTATAATCTCAGCACTTTGGAGCTAAATGCAGGAAGATCAGTTCAATGCTCTTTTAAGTTACAGATGGAGTTCAGCCTAGGCTAGGTAGTCTGAGCTGCGTGAGGCACCACATACAAGAAAATATGGGGCCAGTTGAGGTGGCGCACTGAGAAAAGGTGTTGGCTGCTGAACTTCTTTAAATTTTTGTTTTTTACAATTATTCATTGTATATCCCGATTGTAGCCCCCTCCCTCAACTCCTCCAAGTCCCACCCTCCCTCCATCTTCTCCCCTGTCCCTTTCCCTTAGTTCACTGAGAGGGGGAGTTCTCTGCCACCGACCCTAGCTTATCAAGTCTCAGGACTGCCTGGATCCTCTTCCTCTGTGTCCTGGCAAGGCCAAAGGCTGCCAAACTTGATGGTCTGAATCAGATCCCTGGGACCCACGTGGTGGAAAAAAACTCTCTGATCTTCACCCCCTTAAACACACGCATACAAACTGAATAAAACATCATTTAAAGTTAAAGAGCTGAGGGCAGTGGTGTACACTTGTTTAAAGAGTAAGTAAATAAAATCACGTAAGGCAGTTTATGCTTTGCTAGGCATGCTCCTACTCAGGGAAGTCTACTGTGTGGGGCTGGAGGATGGCTCACTGGTTAGCGCACCAAGTTTGGTTTCTAGTACCTACAGTAGGCAGCTCAGAATCACCTACAATTACACCTCCAGGGGGATCCAACATTATCTTCTGGCCTCTGACACATGCCATATATACATACATAGATAAACACATATAAAGATAAAAACAAAAAGCCCACTGAGAATGGCATAGGAAGAGCAGTCCATCAGGCTGGCTTTGCTTCCAGGGGCCTACAGAGTTCTCCAGGAACACACCCACTCCCAAGAGCATTGCCACCGTCACACACTCCCGGGACACACACCTCTGCTGTCTCCAGATGAAGACTGTTTTTGTTTCACCTCTCTCCTCGAGGTAATCCACCCTCACTACCAACTCTGCACATGACAAAAATCAGTCCAGATCAGTTAGACTAGAAAAGGATTTATTTCAACGTGGAGCAAAGCAGTCACACACGCTGCACCGGTGGAGACTGGAAAGGGGTGAGGGGAGCTGTACCCGGACTGTCCCAAGCCCGCCGTGGGGTAAACAAACAGCAAACCCACCCTCCATTCCTTGCAGTTCTCAGAGGCCCCAGACCCTGCCCTCCAGCATCATGATGTAATGAGAGTTCCTTCTGTTCCAAGAAAGAAAGGCTCAAACAGTGCTCCCAGGAAGGCAAGCCTTGTGCTCCTCTGTCTCCCACTCTTCCTTATGACATGCTGTCCTGTATGGGCAGACCTCCATTTGCAAGCCCCTGGAGAACACTCATCCCTGGCTGCTGGCAAGTCGCTATGCCTTGACTCTTCCATTCTGGAGCACCTCTGAGGGCAATGTCTGGAGATGCTGCTGCCTCAGGCGAGGTAACTGAGAATACAGCTCAAAGCCCTCCGGGAGGCTGGCGTTGGGAAGCTTATAGTAGAGGAGATGCTGCCGCAGCCCCTGTAGGGAGGGCAAAACCCAAAAAGTGGGTGGTGAGAGTTTGTTGAGGTTTGGTTCCTTAAGCCCCCTGGAGCGTTCACCTGCCTAATACCACAACATTACCTCATCAGCCAGCAGCCACGTTTTCTGCAGCATGCTTTTTCGGGCAGCCTTCACCTCATCCTAGGAGCATAAGAGAGGATGTGGCGCTAAGCAAGGGCTGGTACCCACGACCGGCCTTGCTTAACCCTCACCCCATCCCCAACCGGCCCACTAGCT